TTTTTAAAAAAATTGAACGTTGGCCATAACTTCTGAATGGTTAGGGTTAGGGCTTTCATGCTCTACATAAGTATTCTAATGTGGCAAGACCTTTTATTTGATACTAATTATATTGACCTTTTGACCTTGACCTTGGAGATTTTTGTACTTATAAAAAACTTTAACATTGGCTTACTTTCAAATTTCACAATTGTTTTCCAGTGAGAATACCCTACTTTTGGTACCAATTAATTAAATTTGCATTTAAGAAAAGCGTAATCTTTGCTATGTTGCCATACGGGGGCATCAGTGTTTCACAAACACATCTTGTTTTTAGCTCTACTGGTCAGAGACCAGAAGAGCTTATGCGATAGTAATGCGTCCGGCGTCCGTCCGTCTGTCTGTCTGTCTGTCCGTCTGTCTGTAAACAATTTTTCAAAACGCTACTCCTCCTACAATTTTAGTCTGATTTCAGTATTACTTGGCACACAAGTAGACTACACTAAGATACATAGAATAGTGCATTTTTAATTTCGATGAACGATGTTGCCATGGTGACTAAAAATAGAATTTTCTATGAAATTCCTTAAAAACGCTACTCCTTCTACAGTTTTGGTCTGATTACAATATAACTTGGCTCACAAGTAGACTACACTAAGATACAAAGAATAGTGCATCGGTTTTTGATTTCGATGAACGGTGTTGCCATGGTTACTAAAAATAGAATTTTCTGTGAAATTCCTGAAAAATGCTACTCCTTCTACAATTTTGGTCTGATTTCAAAATAACGTGGCACACAAGTAGACTACACTAAGATACATAGAATAGTGCATCGGTTTTTGATTTTGATGAACAGTGTTGCCATGGTTACTATCACCAGTGAAATAGCTCCTATTTCACTTTTGATACTAATTCTACATATATTTGATTGTTTTACATAATAATTTTTCATATCATGCATCAAATTCATTTACTTTGATCATTCTTAATATCTTAATTTATTTGTCCACAAATAGTGAAGCTAAACCAACACAACATCTGGCTAATTCTTAATTCCCTCAAATACTTAGTGCTTTCTTAGTAATTGTTAATTATTGACACTCAAACTGCCTGATGGCAATGGTCACTGATTAGGACTGTTAGGTTAATTAAATAAACCTTCTTTGACTTCCTGGCATCAAAGGATGACACCTGAGTAGTCTATTGTTTAAATTGTTTATTTGATAAGTTCTGCCTATGGCTATTTTCACATTGAGTAATTCCTTACAATTAGTTAATAAAATAGATAGTTGAGAATACAGAGAGTTAACGGAGATTTAGAGTGACAGAGCTAGTGAATGAATGTGTTAAGAACCATGTAGGAAATTAGACTAAGAAACCTTTAAGATTTTATTTCTATTTAGGCCAACTTTATCTAAATTTTAGTTAGGACTTGGACTTGCATCTCTATGTGTTTATGTTGTTGGAATTCATTATTACCTTAATAAACTGTCATTGTTACCCTACAAATTTGGACTTATGTGTTTCCTAACATTCCCCAAACCCTTGAGCTAAATTCCCCAAATGAACGTGCACCGC